CGCTGCCTGCCTCCCCGGGCAGAGGAGCCGGTGCGGAGCCCGGCTGCGCTCGGCACGACCGCGCTGCAGGGTTTTTTTTTCCCCCTAGGCACCAGCGGTGAATTAGGTACAGCAGCCTCTGGGGGTTGTCCCAGCCGGCCAGGACGGGACAGAATGTAATTCACGTGGTATCGCAACGCGTAAGACCTACATGCCTTGGAAACAGCATTTACCCACTTCAGAAAGGTTTTCCGGCTTGTTGGCCGGACCGCTGCTGACGCCCCGGTTAAGCCACGAGCCCCGGCCAGCAACGACACGTGCCTGCCGACTGCCCTAAATCCTGTTTCCAAACACTTTGCAAGATCCTACGGTGTTTCCTCGAGCTGTTCTAAGTGTCAGTAGTGCTGTTTATTAGCTGTCGTAGCACATCCTACGTATCAGTGATTTGTCAGACAGACTAGTGTATACAGGTATGGATTGTAATTAAATATAACCTTATGGGCTTATGGTTAGAGAATTACTAGATCCATCAGTGTAATAACTGTAGTATATTAACTGGGGTTCAAGTATTCTTACATCAACCTTCATACTAATTTCACTCACTTCCTCCCGTTGTAAATCACTGTGGTACACTAGACACTAGCTGCTTTTCTTGCCACTATCCAGACCAAGTCTTAAGCGCATGCCAGAATTTTGCTGTGAATTTGTGCCATGCCAGCTGCTCCCCTCATGCTGTTCTTGCAAGCTGTTTCATACACACCGTATTCCCCTCGAGCTCCCCAGAAGCCCTGTAGCTAACTCAAGCTTGCAGAGGGCAAGATTATATCGCTCTCAGATAACGTGCCGAAAGCTTCTGCGCAGCGTTAGCACTGAATTTGGGTGTAAAGAATAGAATTAAAACAAGAATACCATACCTGTCCTGAGATTCATTCTACACGACCATCTTGCTCCAGGACACTTCGTTGTGACAACAGATATTTCTCAGCACTGAAGTTAACCACATTATGATTTTTGTATAAACTTTACTGTATTTTAAGCATATTAACAAAAGAAGATGTGAAGGAAGAGCTGTTGATTGGAAATTGTTTCCAACCTTTTAAGTTATTCCTAGCAAGGTGGAGGTTTTGCTTAACTGATACTTAGAAAATATACCCCCTTAACTATATGCCTCTCAATCTCATGAGTTTTGAGCAGGACCTCCCCCCCTCCCCGGCTCTTAAGTGATGTCATAGACATGACATCTGTTGGATTTTGCTTGTTTTCGCCTCGATGCCACGTAAAAAGATGAGTTTCCCATCAAGCAAAGTGCAGATAGCTACATAGCAGCGTTAAAAATTAGCTCATGTTCTAAGAGAAGTGAGAAACATTACTTTACTTTTTTAGTTCTTCCCCATCAATTTTTTTACTGCGGGTAGTTCCTACCTGTCTCTGTCCC